TACATGGTTGAAGGAATATGTACTCTAAATGTATAATTATTACCCATTTAATAAATTGCTTATGGTTGCACATTTTTGTTTCAAGAGTTATAGTTTAAATTCCTCAACCCCAATTAATGAACGCATGATTTTTTTTTTTTTTTATCAGATTGAAATTAATTACATGTTAGTTAAGTGAGGGAAGAAAAAATGAGATTAGTGAGACTCAAACATATCACCCACAATAGGTGAACAATCCTAATTTAAAATCCATTCGATTGAATCGGAGTGGGTTGTTCAAAGACATGATTAATTAGTTCTATATGATATGAAAACAAGTCATTGTCCTGAGTTTCCCAAAAAAAAAAAAAGTCACTGCCCTGAGTTGAACTGTTGATCATGATATGCATGGAAGTCATCGTTATGCTCTTAAACTATGCACATATACTATTGGGTCAAGCTATCTCGTCCTATTATGGACCACGACTGTATGCATACATTTGGGAGGAGGGGAAAAATTTTCAATATATAATTAACATGTTCACTTGGGCATTTCCTTAATCAATAAGAGCTTAATTATAGTTGAAAAACTAACCCCTGCTTGGTACGAGGGAAACAGAGCAAAGGGTGCGAAATGAAAGGATGATAAAATATTTCTATCCTTATTTGATTATATTAAAATATTAAAAAATTATTGTAAAATAAAAAATAATTTCTCTATTTTTTCAATTTTTTATTAATCAAATTGTAAAATTTCTCTACCTCTCTTCTTTCCTTTCATTTCCTCAAACCAAACAAAACAGTTCATTTGTTTGAGGGAGGAGAGCAAAGGGAAGACTATAAGGATGAAATTCTTTCGTTGATTTAATAAATTAATTTAATTAGTCAAAATGAGATGGGATCATCTCTCTACCCCTTCTCTCCCTTTCATTTTCTTCTTGTTTTCCTCTAACCAATTTGACAATTAGGGACATTTGGTTATTATGGCACACATCAAGCATTTAGTTCTTTCAATAAATCAAAATAATTTAATTAAGAAATACAAATAATACTCTAGCTCATTATAGTACAACAAGAATGGTAGATAAAGTATTTAGTTATATTTTTCTTTTAGATCGGCCAAACTTTTTTGGGTTTTTGTGGAAAATTAGCCTAGCATTTAGTTGTGCTAAATGGACCGAAAGATTAGGGAATGGAAAAATCCATGGAATAACAACTATTTTTAAGAAAAAAAAAAACATGGGGGAATTATAGAAAAAAGGGAAAACTTTCAAGTAATTAGTGAAAGTCAAATTTTCAACTAATTAAATTTAAACACTAAAACTTAAAAATAAATCATTAGATCCAAACTCCAAAGAGCAAATTTGGATAACAACTACTTTTGTCCAAAAAAATGGCCTGAAGGGAGATTTGTTTCCCCGTGGGACCATATTGTTGGAAGTTGGAAAAGAACCAGATCATCCCATTTATGCAGCCACTGCAAGTTGTTTATCTCCAACAAGCATTACTCATCCTTATAATCACGCAAGCTTGAATAATTTACACCTCATAACAAGTTTATCCCTTTTCTTTCTTGGTGTAATCCTGTGCTCCTGGTATAGTTATGATCACACATCATTTTGTCAAGGTCACATAAATTTTATTGTATTAAATAATAAACTTTAATTATTTTATTAATTATTAATTATTTTTAATAATTAAATTAAATAGAATCAATGTTTTTAAAATCATTATTGTGTGATCTTAATATTATAATGTGTGGCCATATCCACACTTCTCTACTTTAGTATTGTCCGATGCTACCAATGGCACCCATACTTTTCAATTTTAATTTTTTTTATAATTTGCAAAAAAAAAAAAGTCACTATTATCAATTAAACAAAACCTAAGGAGATTCACAATTGCAAAGAATTATCTCCTCTTACCCTCTCTTAGACATGGAAATCCTAAATAATAAGATGCATAAGAACAAATCCTAACTCAACTCAAATAATTATGATATATTATTATATAATTAATTTTATTTATTTAAAAACTTATTAATAATATATATACCTTTACATAGGTATATCATATATATTATATGGTAGTATTGTTTTTAAAATTTATAAAAAAAAAAAAATTACCTCTCCAAAAGTCAATTGTGGAATCAAAACATGGATTGGATACACTTCACTAGTCAAAT